TGAGTTGATTGCCTACAGACATAGACTTTGTATGGATAAGTATAATGAAATATGGGACTCATTTATACAAAGTTCAGTAGGTTAAAAAAATGATAATCATATAAATTTAGTAGAAATATACTGTATATGTAGTTGAATAATATTTGTAATAGATAAGCATATATAGTATCAAAACTGTTTATTGCTATATATTACTACTTTTTTCTCTTTGTTGTATTTTTTTTGTTTTTGTTAAAACACTTATTTTTTTTTCTTTTTGTAATCAAAAAATTAAAAATAAATAAAAAACCATGAAAGAATCTTGAAAGAAACTTAAGGATTATTTTATGTAAAGTTTGTTTTCATTTTTTAGCCATATTAACACAGTGTTGTTTTTGTTTCTATAAGTGTGTTTTGAGTAGAATTATTTAATATCAATATTTACAATTTCTTTCCTTACAGTTTTCCTTCATGTTTTCCTTCTTTCAATACAAAAGGAATTGAGAAACAACATGAATTAGATTCTTTTTGTATCTCTGTAATTGATCCAAGGTACTGAGAGTACAGAAAGACCTATATTGTGTCTGTAAGAATATATCTCTCTTTCGAGGAAGGGGAAATGTGTGAAAGGAAGGTGAGGATATGTCTTATAATGATACAGGACACTGTTGTTTTTAAACAGAGAGAGTAATGAGAGAGTAAAGAGTTGTCTGGCACTCTGCTGTTCCCTCTTCCCCTTACTGTAAAGTCCAGTGATGATACTGGCTTCTTCCTCTCAAACAAAGAGGAAAGTTGTTCTAACAGCTTTATAAGCAGGTTACATGATTGATGCCCTTGATGCATACTGCTTCTATGCCTGAATTAACAAGAGGGATACGTTAATATATGCTCTAAGGCTCTACCAGCAAGAAGGGTTTAATTGTTCACCAGGTACTACTTTAATAGTGGGTGTGTGTTTTGTAAAATACATCAGTTCACATCCCATTTCAGCATTTCAAAAAGACCCAATTTGCATGGACCTTTTTCAACCTAGCTTTCAAAATCAAAATTTCTCCTGTTTCCTCAGCACCTAAGATGGGAAAATCAGAGTTCTACCATTTTTGCTTTTTGACCATTTCAGTCTTTAATAGTGCCATTTTAAAGGTGGAATAAATGAATGAATGACAACAGGGAATATATACCTGTACAATCCAAAGAAAGCCGTTAACATTTGATGGCCTTTAAGTGGATTCCTTTATCTCATTTCTAAGTAAAATTAACATTAATCAACTGAGGCAAAGAACCGGAGACTAGAGGAAAAAAGAGACTACAATCCTCATCATTTGTAAAAGATTGAAAATAGAGCAGAAGTTGGGTTTTTAAAGGAAGAGCAAGAATAGAAATATAATTTAGTGAAAGAAAGAAAACCTTAAGTGAGAAAAATATAAAACAGGAAAAGATAAACAAGATAGCAAACAGGCAAAAAAGCAGTTGTTAATGCAAGGTAGAGGAAGAAAGCTAGGGAAAATTATCCTGTATCTTATCTAGGAGTTTGCTTTCCTATATGAAATCATTCACAGCAGTTTTTATTTTTCCAATCACATGAGTATTTGAACATACATTCCCTTAATGGATGACAAATGTCTAGGACCAAGTAGATATTACATCAATGCTTTTGATATTGTCTTTCTGTATCATTGGTAATGAAGTCTATTCCATTACTCAATTAAAATAGAAACATTTGTAAATGGAAGAGCATAGAAGGGCAACAGAAAATGAGGGAAAATATTTAATTTTTATTATGTCCATTTTACAATCAAAACAAAGTAATAAGATTTTGTGAAATGCATTTCTTTCCTTCTCTATCCAGAGGTAAAGTGGTCATGGATTATGTACTGATAAACTAGTGAAAATCTGGTTATTTCAGAGAGTATTTGGTTCATGATTATATGAGTGCTGCATATTGAACTTATGAATATTGTATGTTTATGTTTATACAGTATTACTGTATTTGCGCTTAGAATTGAAATAATTGAAGTAATAGATAGATAGATAGATAGATAGATAGATAGATAGATAGAGACAGACAGACAGACAGATGAACAAGATAACTGATTCACTCAAGTGGCAAAAAATGGGTCATATGCTAGAGAAAAGGTGTCATTAATTGGACAAAAGAAATTATTCACTCAAGTGGCAAAAAATGGGTCATATGCTAGAGAAAAGGTGTCATTAATTGGACAAAAGAAATTGATAGATAGATAGAGACAGACAGACAGACAGACAGACAGACAGACAGACAGATGAACAAGATAACTGATTCACTCAAGTGGCAAAAAATGGGTCATATGCTAGAGAAAAGGTGTCATTAATTGGACAAAAGAAATTATGTGATGATGAAATGATAAATCTGGTAGAAGGTAGTAAAAATTGTTATAAAGCAACGTCTCTCTTTTCCTATGGAAAAAGTGATGCTATTTTGTTACAGTTTTAATTTTAGAAGAAACCATCTAAATACTCTGCATACTGCATTAAAGTAACTGTATATACCCAAACATCTTTTGGTAGTATATGTATTTAAGTTTCCTATTAACATTATTGAATTGTTTTTAGTGGTAAAAAAGCAGTACAAATCTTAAAAGAACAAAAAATCATAATCAAAACTTTCTAGCTCCTTTTCATAATGATATTTTATTAAAATTTTAAAGTAAAAGATGATCCTCACAAATCTTTATAACTGCTGCCTCAAAATCTAAACCTGTGGATCAGCTTGGCCTTTCAGAATAAGAAAAAATTATGAGACTGCTAAATGTATCATTGGTACAGTAAAAGTAATTTGTTTACTCAAGTTATTTATATAAAGTAAACAAAATGACCTCCAAAGATCAATTAAAAATTGTGGGTGAGAAGCACATTGTGCAAATATGGTGCATACAAATAAGAATAAGAATTTTACTGTTATTTACTGATAATTGCTCAATATATATTCCACTGCTATCCATACTACAATAGAAGATGGTAGCATAACACATCAATATATACAACCTACATCAAAAACCAATCAAATAGCTTCAGACTATTATATCTGTAATGTCACTATCAGGATAAAACTGGTTATTTTAATAACATATTAAATACTGGTATAATTAATTTTAAGAGATAATATTTATGTCCCATTACATATTAGATATTTATAACATTATACAGCTCTGAAAAAACATTGCAGTGCTATGTTATTAAATATATTAAATAAGTAACAATATAAAAAAAACAGCAAACATCAACTTGTTATAAATTGAAACCATCAGGTAGATGATTTAACTAGGACAACAAAAATTAGAAAATATTATGGATGGTAGGTCCCAAATCACATGTCTACTTGATATGATTCTGCAACTGTTTCACATAACTCATTATCAATGTGATTTAAAGAGTGGTGTGAATAATTTAATGATGAAATCCCAGTGATTTTAATCCAGCTACAGATAAATGTTCAGGATCCTCTGATTGTAACATAAAGTTCCTATATTTTAGAGAGATGTTCTTCATGTATCATGTTATTCATTAAACATGAAATAGTATGGATAGCACATATATTAACAAAGTGTACTGCATTAAAAGGTAAATGGCACCTACATCACAAATGAATGAAAATTATGAATACGGAAACACAGTAAGAGTGATGACGATGAACAAACTATCCATCCTTTAAAAAGTATGCATTTCTTCTTATTGAACATATATTTAAAAACCTTGAGTATTAAAAAAACTGAACACAGTCCCTTTTTCTCTTCTGAATCTTCTACTCCTTGTTTCTTTTTTAATCAAGTTAATACTGAGTTTTTGGACTGTTTTATTGTCATGGTGCAAATGAAATAAATGATTAGCTTCATTTAAATATAAAATATTTAAGCAAAAACTCATGAATTTACACTGAAGGAAAAACATGGGATGGTTTTCCCTCAAGTATGGAGAAAAGGCTCCAAAGAGCAAAAATATATAAATTGGTTAAACTATAGTAATAATTATCCAATTTTTATACAAAATTATTCAAACTATTCTACTGAAAACTGCTAAAGCAATAATTATTTTCCTATTCCACTACTTTCAATTTTTAAGTGTCTTCGCTTCAGGCCTTTTAAAGCATATTTATTCTGGATAATGAACTATGTTCAAAAAAACTGACAAAGGTTATATATTTTTAATTGGATAAATGAGGATAATTTTCCATGCCGACAATGCAAATCTAATCTGTACATTTGAGCAATCAAACATACCATAATTGTGGGTTATTTTGGCAAATGGCTTCTAACAGTGACCATAAAAATGGAAGAGATATATGTGTTTGTTATGTGTATGTATGCACTATCACAAATGTACATGTGCTTCTATAGTTTAATGCATTAATATATGCATATCTATATACAGATACAAAATTTTTACACGCACACACACACATTTAAAAGTCACATCTAGAGGCAAGCAATCCACAATTAATAATTTCCCATATATTTATCATTAAAACAAATCCTCAGTAAATCACATGCAAAAATAAAATGACATTAATAATTCCCAAACAACATTAAAAAATTCAATGAAAACCTAAGTACAGGGAATATATGGGCTGATTGCAGAGATATTTATTTAAAAAATCAATGAGTAAGTCAGAAGGGGAGGGGTTTACTGTAGATAAATGGAGAGGAAAAAATAACGGTTTTTCTTAAATATATCATGACAACACATGAGACAAGATTATAAATAATAGGCCAAATTATTGCACACCATGTGATTCTTAATCTGGCTACCTGTGGGTTCTCCCCCCTCCCTTTTTTTTGTTTTTTGTTTTGTTTTTTTATTTTTGTGAAAGCCTTTTTCAGCAGTGGTAGGAACATGGAGCGGTAATGAAAAGAAATAGGAAAAGAAAATTGTGTTTATATGCCAGTTTTTTTTAAATGATTAAATCGTGCAGCAAAAAGAACACTGGAAAACAGGGGAATAAAAAAGAAAAGCCAATCCTATTATTTTTGAAATGCTATTATTACCTGAGCATCTCGTTTCCTACATTCCTGAGTTTTATTGTCGTAGTCTGTCATGGCAGCCCGAAGCTGTTTTTCTAGTTTCTCAATTTCCCGTTCATGGTCTCGGACCAGGCAATCCTTTTCTGTGTTATGTTGTTGGAATAGGTGCGTCTTTTCCTGTTCATGCTCCAGCTTCAGCTCTACTATCTGATTGGACAATGAGGAGTACAGTTCATCAACAGAACATCCCTGTCGTCATGACAACTCATCTTACTGCTTAATTTTTTTTTCACCCCCACAATTTCATCGTAGGTTTTACCATTATTTTTACGTCATCGTTACCTCACCTGAAAAAAAGGTGGAGAAAAAAAATTCTAAGTTTCATGTGCTATTCATAAAAACTAAATAAATCCAACAAATCGTGAATACTGAATGTCAGAATACCAGGGGAAAAAATCCCTGTCGCATTTGATATACGCTCCTGAAATCCAGCTGTGATACAGATTAAAAATGGTTAATTGTCTCTTCTGCTCTTCATGTATGCACAAACATACAAAAGTATCAGTCTAATCTCCAAAATAAAAGCCCATCTGATATGAATGAATGAGCATCTATCTATCTATCTATCTATCTATCTATCTATCTATCTATCTATCTATCTATCTATCTATCTA